AACGATCACCAAGAAGGCAAATTGGGCGAGGTGTGCAATGACGGAAATGAAGAGCACCTCATAACTGGCAGCCATCATGGAAATGCCGTAGTAGCCAGCGTACCCAATTGAGTACATGGGATGAGGAGCCATCTCGAACACGCCGTCAAAGTTCAGCTCTTGGTCAATGAGGTAGAAGAAGTCACCCCAGTACCAGGCATAGTCCTTCACGACCCGGTGAGCGTCTAGCTTTACCCACAAGTTGAAGAGGACGAGTAGGATGCCGACGATCCATCGACCGGCACCAAGCAGAAGACTCTCGCCCTCGGGGGTGTGACCACAGATAATGGCAAAGAGACAGTAGGACACGAAGTCACACATCAAGATCAGATCGACAACACGGCGGAAGACGAGCCAGGTGTTGTACTCCATGGGAGCCTTCTCGAAGCTGTAGTCTTCAGGTATCTTTGCCTCAAGTTCTCTCTTGAGCATGTTATAGAGCCAGGGCCTTGGCTGCTTGCCAGAGCTGGGATGCTCAAAGAGTTTCCATCTAGCAGCCCACGTCTCCAACCTGCGGTGTTGGGATTGAATGGTGAGGAGATAGCCAATGCCGATGTTATAGGCTGCTCTCCAGAAGAGAAAGACGAGAGCAAAGACGGGGCGTTTCCAAGAGGCCGGGATGAAGTAGGCGGCGCCGATCTGTAGGGCGAGGATGGCCAGGACCAACAAATCGGAAAGATTCTTGGGTTGTCTCGGGTCGAGCAACTGCGAAACCATGTCATGGGTCGTGGGAACGGTAAAAACTGGGGGTAGAAGGCCATGTCAGCCTCCAAAACCAAGTGGGAGTCAGAGTTGAAGAAAGCAACCATGCAGCCTACCTGTGCCGTCAGGAGTACGACCAAAGGTCTTGTTGGGCTTCTGGTCGACTTCTAGGTCTTGACCGATGTCAGACGACTGAGACTGGTCGTCTCTGAGAAGTGAGGCATTTAGGTCCTCGTCGTGGGCGGCGGAGGACGCATGCTTCTGACGCTGGCGAAGACCAGCATCATTGGAATTGTAGTCGGTCGAGGAAGTCATTCTGGTGGAATGACTGGCGGTTGTTGAAGATGCCGACGTCCTGGAGAGACACTGATGGAACTTCACACACAGGGGGGTCGGTAAGGGCGAAGTGCAAGAGTAGTTCTGATGCTCAAGGTGTCCATGAGCTGCCAGTTGTCTAAATACCTGGTCTAGTAAGGTATGAAGAAGTTGGTGGGTTGCAGGTGGTTGTGCGCATGAAGTAACGTGCGTGTGTGAAGAGGCAGCGGCAAGAGGGGAAGAGGCAAGTACCTTACCTTAATATGAGGTGTTGAAGGTTAGACGTGGAATTACGACACAGCGACCAGGGGGGGTCGTTTTCCAGTGGGAAGTCCTCCAGAGAGGGCCCCACCATTACACTTGAGCAGTGCACTGAGGGTGGGTTTTTGGGATGAGAGTGCCCGCCCGTCCCGCCCAAAGGCTTTCGATCACATGTCACAGAGACACCAGAGTTTCCTTTTTCAATGTCAAAGGGACAATTGTTGAGGCCGGCCTCAGGCCAAGTGGCCAGGTACGGACTACTGCGGCAATCTGATGAAGCCCCAAGTACTACCTACTTTACCAAGAGCAAGAAAGAGAGAGGGTGAGAGAAAAAGAGAAAACTGGCCCCCCTCCTTCTCCTTCCGCCGCCGCAACTCACTGAGCCCAGAGGACACCACCACCACCATCACAACCTCAGTTTGGGGGCGGCAGACCCAATCAAGCATCTGCCCGGGCGCAGATCCGATCTTACAGGCAAAGAACCTAAGCTCTTCGGATAACTTACTTGTAGTTACTTCAGGGTGAATTGAGAGAATAATAACCTGCAACCACTAATTACCTACCGCCATCTACCTCTCACGCACTCAGCCATCAGCAGGTACAACTGCGTGTCTCAGACGCACACGTGCTCGAGTGTTGTCCCGAGCCCTAACCACCCCAGCCAGCCACCGCCTCAGGTCGACTCATTGTCGTTCTGGGTCTAGGTCTGCCTGGTCTACCTTGCCTTAGGTGCTTAGTGCCCACGGCGGAAGAGAAAATCCTTCACTACCTATGCTTCCAGCGTTTTCCTTCACAGCGGCACCCAACACATTTCATAGGTTGTCCCACGCGGGATGGGATGCTAAGGCAACCTGCAGGCAGGACCACCTTCCCGACCGCGCCAAGCCGCGCCCGGATGCGGGGCACGCCAATGATCTCTCAGAGAAGCCCAGCTTGCTTACCAAACTCAACGTGAGGTGTCTTTGCAGTCTACCATAGTACAGAACCTTCTTTCGCGGTGCTTCTAATAAGCGAGGGTCTCACTGGACGCTTGGACACCCGTCTACCTACCTTAGCTACCTAAGGTAAGGTGCCTTACATAAGACTGTCTGGTGCCCGATAAGAGAGACGTCGGACGGACGCTGGGCCGATAAGCAACTCAAGGGCTCGTCGCCAAGGGGTCGAACCACCTTACCAGGTACAGGTAGAGTTACCTTAGCTTTATTCTCACTTACCAAGTACAACACATCACTCTGCAACTTCAACCCCTGAGCTTAAGGTCTTTCCAGAATTCCTTCAAGATCTAAGAATCCCCTGACAAGTGTCACATCGAACCAAAACTCCCGTTGCAACGGCAACAAATAAGGCCTAACACAAAGCTTCGAGCGGAGCTGGTCCGGCATGCTGCAGACAGGGCCATGCCAGTCTCACCACGCGATGCGGAACAGCAACATGAACCCTCATCAACAACATCCCTCCGCCAAGTTCACGCGCATTCAAGCGCGCCACGCGTTTTGATTTGGTAGCCATGCCACCAAAAACACTTCTTAGTAGCCACTCATTTGCCTGGAGACTGGTCCAATGGAGCCCCTCAAGTTCGGCATCCCTGGCTGGGATTCGCGTTGCCCTTCCAGGGTACGCCCGTTTTTTGCATGAACTTCTAGAATGACAGCATCAAAACACACCCACCTCGCACAAGGGCCCCTTCCTGGCTCAAATTTCTCACCGGCGGGCGCGCTCTGAAGAGTCGCTTCGTTCGGCAGTTGTATAAAGACTGCCGGCGGAGGTCCAATCCCTCTACTAAAAGCTTGACTTACATGTGGTTTTGCCCGCCAAAGCGTCTTATCTGACCTTCATTCGTTCATTGACTCACAAACACACACACATATTTGATACTCACTCAAATAAGCGGGATACCGCCCCTCGCTAGAGAAGACATATCTTGATAATCATATACCACCCCTTGCCACCAAACAGAGCAAAAGACATGGCACGCGCTACCCCGACAGCCTCTCTGGCAGGCGACAAGCCCTTGCCGACCCGTCCCGGCACTTCAGGCACGGAGAACCTCCTCAGGACGAACCGCCGCCAAGCCTCAGACAACTACCAGCGCGCCCAGCGTGCAGAGAGAACTTACCGGGCCAAGAAGCGCGCCACTGCCGCCCGCGCCGACCTCTCCGATGCAAAGACCCACTACGCCGAGTGCTTCAAGCACCTCACCCGCGGCCTGGCCGTCACCTTTAGCGCCGTCAAGTCTCTCCCGTACGTCTTTGACGAGAAGCAGGAGGCCGCCCGCCAGAAGGCCGAGGCCAAGAAGAAGCAGCGTGCCCTCGAGAAGAAGAAGAAGCTGGAGGAGAAGCTTGCGAGGGAGAACGCCGCTGCCGAAGGCGAGACCCCGGCTGAAGAGGCCGCCGCCGAGGATGCTCCTGCCGAGGAGAACGCCGCATGATGGACCATTCGCAGAGTCGAGTCGATTACGTGGTTGAAGGGAATCTAGAGCCAGGCCGAGACTTCGCGGACGGACTCCTCGTGCCAATCCTCGTGCCAACTCTCGAGCTCCGTCTCGCTTCCTTGTCTCGCGTCCATGTTTCCCTCCAAGTCAAACACACACGTTCACCCCGCCTTCAGGACCTCACTCTGCGACGGGACTCTCAGCTTCATGCGCAACCGCGCAGGAACGCGCCATTCCCTCCGGCCCAACACATCGGCAGCAACACGACAAAACAATGACGACACATCATCGACAAGTACCGACCGCAAGGACGACACAATCAACAAAAGAAGAAAAAGCCCTTGACGAGGGGGAAAAACAAGTACGACACTCGTAAGCATCGCAATCTTCGCTCATGAACAACACATTCGCTTTCCCGCCCTCGGGGCACTCACATTCGCTTCACTACACACACCATCAACGCATTTTCCTTATTCTCCTCGCCTTTTTTTCCCCCCCGCTCTTTGCCACTTTTAGTACTGCTTGCTCTCGGCAGCAACATTTTACGGCCTTGGACGAGATAATGATGACGGAGCCAACATACAGACGGACTCTCCTTGTAATAAACACACCAGAATCACTTGGGCACGTAAAATGGGGGGGACCGGCGGTCACGTTTGGGTCTTCTCACTCGGCGTCTTGTCGAAGTTTTCCATCTTTCTCTGCTTGTTCATGTTATTTTTCGACCTTTCCTTTGTAATTGTCCCTTAACTGTTCTTGCTCTAGGTTTCTGGAGAAAAGGGGGGCGGAAAGAGGGAGAGGATGATTCGGCGCGGTCTGGACGTCCCTCCATCAGAGATACCTACTTTGCGATTTTTTTTCCGAATTTGAATATAATGGCATGCCTTTCAAATAAGAGACTGTTCATGCCGTGTCGACTGTGTGAAAAATCTGCGGATGCCGTAAACTAGGATCTTGTCTTCTTCGTCGCTGAGGTCCTAGTACAAACAGAGCCAGCGCGCCATCTAGCCCAACAAGACCAACGGCCTACGCGTGAAGCCCAACACACCGCCGCGACGGGCTACCTATTTCCATGAGATCATGACTTTGCATTTCCGAGAGAGAGAAAAAGGATGAACTACCAAACCCCAGGATGCCAATTTTAATACCGATGCCGTAGCCGTATCTCCAGTAGTAGCATCAAAAAAACCGTCGTTACCGCTCCACACCGTTCCCTCTTCAACCACATTGCAACTCCCTCTTCTGCTCGCGCTTAGTTCGCCTTCTTGGCGAACTCGACTCTGAGAATCAAGTGCTTAAAACCGAAACCGTCCATCTTGGCGCAGGCCTTGACGGCATCGCTCCGGTCTGCGAAGCTGATGAATGCGAAACCCTTGGCCAGGCCCGTCTCTCTGTCCTTGGCCAAGAACACACGAGTGACCCGACCGAATCGCTCGAACATGTCGCGCAGCTCCTGCTCCTCCGCCAGCTCCGAAACCTGTGCAATTCACAATTAGTAACTCACGTACGAACGACAACACCTGTGAGGGATAAAGCCCAATGGAGATGACTCACGTTGGTAACACGCAGGGTAGCCAGGTCGTCTCGCTCGCCGTACTTGCTGCCGCTCATCCTGTCTCCGGCAGCAGCACCAGCGGCGCCAGCTCTGAGTGCAGGCGGGACATAGCTTCCCTTCTTGGCCCCCGGGCCTCCAGCAGCAGCAGCAGCAGCTCCCGCCTCGTCTCCCATGCCGGCGGCAACGTCGGCCGTGCCAGTCTCGGTGCCGATCGGGGCCATGGTGTCCTTGTAAGGGCAGCGGGCTGTGAAATGCTCGCCGTTGCAAATACGGCACTTGACCTTCTTGTCCTTGAGCTTGTCCTTCATGGCCTGGGCGTTGGGGTCCTCGCCCTGCTCCTTCTCATCTTTGCGCCAGTTCGTGCTAGGCCGGAAGATGATGTTCTCACCGACGGAGGTCGTGTCGGGGGCGGGACCGGCGGGATCCTTCGCGCTGAGGCCGAACTTGGACCATGTCTTGCGCTCGGCGACGCGCGGGTTCACTTTTTCGGTGTGCGTGGTGTAGCGGATGCGGCGAGTCGTCTTCACCTTCTGGCCCTGGTCGTTGTAACGGAAGGTGATGATGGTCTTGGTGCCGTCCTTGTTGCTGATGGTCTGGGGCGCGGGGAGGTCGGTGGTGGTCTCGTCGACATCTTCGTCGTCGGCCCAGTCGTGCCTGGACAAAGGGAAAGAGGGGGGAAAATCAGCATTTCTGTATACCCATCTCACATGAAGGCTTCCCCCTGGACGCTCTTCCTCTGCACACAACTACTTTTCCCAACGCTATTTCCAGAGAGGGGGGGCAGGGGGTTCTTGGGGAAATGACTGACTTGGTCTTGGGGGTAGCCATATTGGATCTCTTTCTTTGATTGCTGTCCTATCTCAAAGTCGTCGGGAAGGTGATCACGGATTCTGGCTCGATCAAATCGTGGGTTCGAGGATTGTCAGCGTCGACGAAGCGGATTGTCGCGATGTCCGATTTCTTGGTGGGGTTCTTGAGGTGATGAATTTTGTGATTTTCGTGGTGCGCCTCCGAGCTTTAGTGTGGGGCAAGCTCGCTATACCGTTTCGGGTCTCCCTGACCGTTCTTTACCAACTCCGTTTTCATTACTGTGGCAACAGGGCCAACACGGTGGAATGTGGACCGTTTTGTACGGGACCTTCCTGTAGTTTCCCATCAAAGTCTAATCCGACCTTTGCGTGTCAATCCAGATGTGAGTCAGTCTGAGATGACTCCGCGAAACACCAATGTTGTGCACCACAAGACGCTGGCCATCCAAAATTTTCTTATTGAATGCTTCTAGCCTTCCCCGAGGTCGTCTCGAGGGGATGATGCTTAGCCCGTGCACTACTAATACAAAAATGCAAGTCATACACTACGTCAACAGGTGCTATCCGAAGTATATCTACGTCGCCTTCTGTGTCATCCAAAACCCAGCCATGATGTATGCCCGCCACCGCCGAAACGGTCCCAATGCCGTCCAGATGGTGAATCATGGAGTTGGCCCCTTCTTTCTATCCGTAAACGCCGTTTTGCGCAGCTGAAGGGGTATGACGCAAACAAGGTCCCAAAACGTTGAAAATGACAAAAATAAAATGACATATGAAACGAAACACCCGTGTCGCCCGCCTTAGGCAGTTCTATGGGCCGTGGCCAAGAGACAGAATGGGAAAGCAAATGGTGGTTCATGAATCGAACGAGTGAATGACAAGTCAAGCGTTCTCGCGCGCCTTCTGAGGGATTGGAGGCAGCGCGCAGCTTGGTGGGGGTGCGGGTGGGGGACCCTCGACGAGCTGCGGCATGCTTCGTCTGCCGAGAGACCTTGAGTCGGCTCGGAGATGCCTGGTTGACAGTGTTGGCGGAGTACTGGGTACTCGGGGTGACGACCTTGACGTTGGTGATACCGAGGCGGTCTTTGGGGATACCAACATGGGAGCAACTGTCCTCTCTTGCTCCGGGCTGGCGCTAATGGTGGAGAGCGGGGAAGAAGCGTCGAAGAAAGTACTCGGTCTTCTGGGGGTTTTGTGGCAGGCTTTGGGTGAGTGGAGTTGTCCAAACTCACCCATGGATGAATGGGCAACGGGTGACTCCTCGACCTCGTTGGCCGAAGGCGACGGAGGAGTCCTCGAAGGCAGGATGAAGGTTCTAAGCTCTGGTGAGAGGGATGCCTCCTCCGGCTTGTTCAGCGAAGGGGAGCTCGCGTACTTTCGCGGGCTGGTACGGACTGTCACTGTAGCAGCCTGCTCTCTGGGGCTGAGACTCGTTTGTCTCGGGGGGTAGGCGGCTAAGCTGTCGCCCTGCTGGGCTTGGGCAACCTGTTGCTGGCCAAGCGAGTCGGTGAGGCCTTGCACTGGGGAGGGTTGATCAGCCACCATGGAAAGGGGGCGAGCCATGGCAAGAGCAGTGGGAGGCGGCTTGCGCACGCTTCTTGAGCTCGAAAAAGAGTCCCGGTTTCTGCCTTGCTCAGGGCTCGCTGTGGGTGACTTCATGGCGCTGTAGCGCCTACTGATGGGCACGCTGAAGTTTGCAGCAACTTGTGCAAGCTCATGTTCACTGTATAAAGTGGATTGAGGGCGCGACATGGGTGAGCTTCTCAGCTCAAGGTAGCCCGATGTCTGCAGTGACTGTCTGCGATCAAGGATTGCCGCGGCGTTGGGCCTCGGCCGGACCGTAGGCACCTCGTGACACGGAGGGGGGAGATCCTCGAGGTAGCTGCTCGCAAAGCTATCGCGAACGGGGGAGCACGCAGGCGAAGAGCCAGCCGATGTCATGAATGTGCGTTGGCCAGATGAGATGTAAGAGAGACGGTTGGTGCTATCCCTCAGGCTCTCCAACGCCCGGTCGTCGTGGGACATGACACTATTGGTGGTAGAAATGTCATCAATGGAGGGTTCGCGAGTCATGTCAGCGTCGATGGAAGAATGGCGTTCGGAGTCGTGCAGCCTGGCCTGCTCCAGGTGAAGGCTGAAATCCGGAGGGAGGACTCGCGAGAACCTATCCGGGTCGCGGACAATCAACGTCCGCTGACTAGGCTGCGCCTTCAGCTGTACAACGTTGTCATCAGCTTTGGGCTTGCCAGTCTCAGAAAGATTCTTCTTGCCGCCAAGCGCCTCGATCTCCCGGCGCAGGACCGTGATCCAGGAATCCATTTCCTCCGCGCTCTCGAAAACCATCAGGAAATTGGCAGCGTGTCTCTTGTCGGCGGCGCGGAAGGGAAGTCGGGACAGGAGTGATCGCGAATCGGCAGAAGACATGCCGTTGGCTTCCATTGCTGAGGAAACCTGGAGAACCCAATGGCGTCCGGGAATGGCATCGCTGACGAAGGCAGCAGAATCCTTACCCAGATGCAGCATCTTTTCAGGCAGACGGTCGAAGTTGCCGTCACCAGCATACTGCAACAGGTAGCCAGATGTGCAGAGGACGTATATTTTGGATGTCCACTCCAGTCTGGTGGTGGAAATTGTTCTCAGGTGCTTCTTTCTCGCCTTTTCGTCAGGCTGGTCGTCGCCGAGGTCGGAGGCGAGGTTCAGCTGGGTCAGGTCATCGCGCAGGCTGATGCTACCCTTCCTGTCATTGAAGCGCAGTATAACGTCGGCCGACGTGGTGCAGGCGGGAAGCTGCGCGTGCTTGATCGCTTGGGGGTATGCTTGAAAGAGTGGTGGGGGGTCCCAGGTCGCGAGGTTGCCACGAGAGGATCTGCCGGATGGTGTCTGTGACCTAGATCGCTCGGTGGTGGTCGGTCTTCTTTGGATGGAGGAATCGGTAAAAGGCGCGTTGGTAGCCACTGAGGTTGGTCGTGAGGCGGCGCCAGAGAGTGTGATTTCGGATCTCATGTAAGGCCAGTGGCTAATCTCGGCCAGAGAAGCTCGGATACTACTTGGTCTTCCAGTATCGAAGTAGGATGTCGAGCTGTCGATCTCGCGGACATTCTTATTCCTCCCAAATATGCTTCGAAGCCCCAGGCGCGAATCCCGTCTGCTGAGCCTATTTTCTGAGCGCAGAGGAACGCGGTTCTGCTGTTCGGCGGGGGCAGAATCGATATCTGGAGGTCGAGAGCGGCGTGACTGGGTGGCGCGGTACTGGAGGGTCTCGGCAAAAGTGGCAGCGCTGGGGCTGCTAGGCTCAACGTCGGCCATGGCTAGGTGGTTTGTTCCAGCCAGACGTTGAAGTGGTGTGAAGGTTCAAGGAAAGGAGAGGACCAAAGTGATTCGGGGTTTCCAATCGGAAGAAGGCGGGCGGTGACGTGAGTATTAGACAGAGAGGGACGGCGGTGCGCTTTGGCATAACAAGCAGCAGTGGGTGGATTCGGTAATGTAAGTTGAGATGGTAGGCATAAGAAACAATCGAATGTGGCCAGGGTGGTGTGGTGGTGGTGGATCGTGGAACCAAGCTCTCTGTATCCCAGCAAGCAAACTGACGGAGTAAGTTTGGGAACTATTGACGTGTGATGAGAGGGACGTTGTGGGCGAGTCGAACAAGTTTTTGAGGGTGAAGACTTGGTTGCGTCGCGGTGGCTGGCATGAAGCTGGTTGGCTAGGTGTGTCTCGTGTAGGTGTGTGGGTGTGACTGAGCCGGCAACGGGTGATTGATGAGAATGAGAATGAGAAAGGTACCGAGCTCGATGAGTAGTATTATTCACGACAAGGTAAGGTTGATCAAGTGAGGGCCCGCCTGACGTACCACTGCAAAAGCCGGACGCAGTTGCAGAGGGAAGAGAAGAGGATAAACGAGACAGCAGGACGACAAACCTCCAAGGAAGAGTAGGATGGACGGGGAGGGCATTCGGGGATATTCATAATAATAATAATAAAAACCGAGCCAAAGCAAGAGCCATCCTGGAAATGGGGGCCAGCGTGAGCGAAGGTAAGGATGGAAGGTACGTGGGGAGGTACATGCCTTAGGGTACCTTCCATGCCTACACTACCTTTCATAAGGTACATTGAGATTGGTGGATTGCCCGCCCAAGGCACCTACCTAGGCAAGGTAAGGTAGGTTCCTACTCAAGTCGGATTGGAGCTGGCAGCAGAGAGGCGCGGGTACCTGACGGCAACCTAAGCCGCCGCCGCCGCCTTCCATTTGGACGAGGTGTGCGGGTGCGGTGCGGGGCGGTGCGGCGTGAACGTGAGCCAACCTACCTTACTTTACTTCCAGCTAGGTACCTTAGGAACCCACCTAGGGTAAGTAGGCTATGGAGGACGGTGCACCTACCGTACCTTACTAGGTACGACCTGACCTTACCTTACCTTAGGTAGGTAGGCAGGCACACCTACCAAGGACAAGGACCGTGATCGTTATTATTATTATTACTATGATTATGGATTGTCGCTCGTCCGCTTTGGCGCCCTCTGATGACGAGAGAGGAGACAGAGACGCCGAGAAGAGAGCGCGTCCGTCGTCCAGGCTGAAGCGCAGGACCCTGTTCCTTGCACCTGCTTTTAGTCCGAGGTCGCTTCCATTGCCATTGCCATCGGCTCTTGAGTCTGTGGTATCTGTACAACGCTGGACGCCTTGCATCTTACATCCTGGCACCTGGTTATCTCACCCATACCTCTCTGCTTCGGTAAAGTAGCCTTGCCCTGTCCGCCTACACGCCCCCTTGCTTGAGTCCTCTCGCTTTCCGGATTTGTTGTCACCACCTTGAAAAACAGTGCCCAGTATCCGTCCTTCTAATTAGCAGGTGAGCTTGTGATGCAGATATTTTGCAGTCGAAGAGTATGGGTACTGTTCATGTGCCATCCCATCCCATCCCATCCCGCCTACTGCAGCGAACCCAAATACACAAACTACCTATACTTCTCAACAAGCACTATGCCGGCGGCCGCAACCACGGGACACAGCCGGCAACCTGGAACGGATGGAAGGCATAAAAAAATCAGACCAAAACATAGACAAGGCAGCAAACACAAAAGCTTCCCGCACAAAATAAACTCTGCAGATGCAGCCTCGGCAAGCGATGCTTTGGACGGGATGGCCAAGTTCGAACCAGCGCGCCACACACACCCCCATCCATCGTCGTCATGTCGGTACTCTCGGACAGGGTCCTTAGGGATCTCGACTCGACGACGGGGTAGTGGGACACCAAATCACCGCCGTAGAACAAAAAATTGACACGGCGACGAAAAACTAGATTGCAAGAGGGTCACTCTGATCTTTGATGATGTCCAGTCTCCAGTCTCCAGTCTCCCGGTCAAAGTCCAGGACCAACCACACAGGAAGCGCAGGAAGCTCTTCCCCGAACGCAGCGACGAGTCCCCGTTCCCTCCAATTGCCCGTCGCCCATCAATCACATCCTTAGCGAGCCCCCTCCGAATCGTTTAAGCCCTGGAGGTCCAAAGATCCATCACCCGGATCGTCTGGCCCCTGCCTGTGTTTCTATGTTCCTGGCCTCTGCTACCAAACTTTGGCAAATGGCAAATGAAGCGTCTCCCCAAAAGAGCGACCGACGCACAATCCCGACATGGGTGGACGACAGAGAAAGGAAATACCAGAAATGAGGCCTGTCGGTTTGGCCGTTGACACACGATACGAAATGACCCAATACGACGCCGGCGGTTGCTGTTCGTGTCCTTTGCGGGTTGGATCATGGATGCAGGTTTTTTTCTTTCTTTCTTTTTTTTTTTTTTTTTTTTTTTTTTTGAAAAAAAAAAATTTNATGGGTGCGGGTTTTTTTTTTTTTTTTTTTTTTTTTTTTTTTTTTTTTTTTTTGTGAAAAGTACATATCGTCCAGCTTACGTATGGTGTAAAAGGCGATTAATCTATCTTAGCAACAGAAGGACTGTTGTCTAGGACTCTGGATGGATTGAACTTGGACGGCCTTTCCCTATGTCGTTCATCGTCCGGGGATGTTTTGAAAGTGTGAGAAAGAAACGCGCCAACGGCCCCTTGCTGTCTCCAGCGAATCCCCGACGTGTAAAATCCGACGGGGCGGACACGTCGAGTCTGCAGGGGGGCAGAGCAACGACGTCCCATTCTAAAAGTGGCATAGATCGGACCTCCACAGCGACATCTCTCGCAGCTCGGCACAGAGTAGTGCAGGTTAACATGTACTCCCCTCTTCCACCAACAGCACGGAAGCTGCTGCCCTGGAACGGTAAGAAGCTCAGTGTCACACCCCTCTCCCCCACTCCGGCGCATATGAGCTAGAAAAAGTACTAGGTATCTATGTAAGCGNACCCCTCTCCCCCACTCCGGCGCATATGAGCTAGAAAAAGTACTAGGTATCTATGTAAGCGCCTTGTATGTTGGAAAAGAGGAGGGTGCAAAAAGCAAATATATGAGATGGGCCCCAGGCTCAGTCCGAGGAGAGAGAAGAAACCGCGTCGGAAAAGAAAGGCATGCTACAGAAGAATTTTCACAGGAGAGAAAGCAACGAGACACTACCATTGCGGATTCATCATTCAGCTGGTATCTGTCACCCAATACCTCGCCTGAATTACCTAGGTATCCGTACCGACCATCGATCGCACCTTGGCTCGGACAGGCACAGCCTCTGCCATTCACGACGCTTACACTACCTACCTAAGATATGTACGACGACGACGCACGCACGCACAGCAATGCGGATGCGCTCCTCCCGCGCTTCCTTCACAATTCGTCTAGAACCACCATGGGGCCCTCGTGCGCTCTACTAGCTTCGTAGCGTGGGAGCTTTGGCGTTTTGGTGTCTGTCGTGTGATGGTATGACCATTTTCTCCGAGCTTTCGAAACAGTGGCCTGGAACGTTTCCAGAGCTTGCCTCCGCGGTTGAGTTTGGCGGTATTCGTTGGTAGCCACCGGCCGGCGGCAGGGTGCAAGTAAAGTGAGGTGTGAGGTGGTGCAAACCAGGGAACCTGCCGTGGCCGCGAATTAATGAAGATGTGCGCTGCCTGCCCCACGGTTTGGCCCCTTGATCATGAGGTAAGGTAATGGAAGATATCCGTAGCCGGCTTTGCTCCCCCAAGCTGCGCGAAACAAACACAGAAGCCCCTTTGATTTGGAGGTCCAGATTCCCTTGGCATCGCTTTCTCTGGTTGCAAGATTTGAAGATCTTGCGACTCCGCCTTGAATCTCGACCCCCTGGCCACTCAATCCGATTGTTCGTCAGGCAGCCTTCCCCGTCTTCCACATGTGTCAATTCAACATGGTCCAATATATCGGCGCCTAGAAACCTCCTAGCCTTTCTTCTCTCTCGGGATTACTTATCCCTTTAGGGGCGGAAAATGGCTCAGCCAGGGATTATTTGTACCTCCAGGGGTAGTTAACCAATTGCGTAATTCGATTAATAATTAACTCTACGCGAGGTATATTACCAACAGGGGTTACCACACCCTTCTACCACCTAAAAAATCCAGCCTATAGTGTTGCTATCTAGGCGTTTTCACTATACTATTTTGCCTAGCAGTTGCTAGTACAGCAGAAAAGCATATCGCACTTAACGCAGCCCTAGCGCATATAGCGCTATTCCCAGCCACTGTTTCTATCTACTTACCCTAGTATAGTCCTTCTAAAACGCTTCATATAGGCGTAGTAGCGCTATTCCTTCTAACGTCATCTAAGTTTATGAGGGGGGGCCTCTATATCCTAAATAGGTACAGAGTAACGCTCTCTAATAGCTATAAGCCTAAATTTTGCTATTAACTATTTATAGAGCTCTTATTAGAAGGCTACAGAAGGCTTATTATATATAAGGTTTAAAGCCTTATAGAGTAGGTACATATTAATAAGTATAACCCCTATAGCATAAAAAAGTTAGCAAATATAGCGCTAAAAATGCCCTATAGACCCCTAACGTACCTAATAAGTAATTAAAAGCTATAGGCTGCCAGCTATTATAATAGCAGCATTATTCACTAACGCTACTACAGTTAGCCCTATATTAGTCGCTAATATTAACGCTATTTATACTATAGTTATAGTTATTAATAATATTAGGTATAAGTAGGCGCTAATAAGGTATTATAGCTAGCTTATAACCCTTCTTAGAGGATTATAAACTCTAAGAGTCCTCTACGTTAATAGGTGTGGGAGGGATCTTAAAGGGGATATATGCTGTTCTTACTGAAGTTAATATAGCGTTAGGTTGTTTATATACCTATAGAGTAGTGATCTCCCTACTGTTAAATATACTACTAATTAGAAGTATAACTGCATTATCTTT